CCAACACATTCCACATCCTCACATAGGAACCTTAATACTTAAGTTCAAATTCTTCACTCACAAAAAAGCTATAAACACCCTTTTTTTTTAATATTTCAAGCTTCATAAAGTACATATTTCAGATTATTAAGCAACCTTAATTTTACATAAAAGTACACAGTCTAATTTTACATATTATATATATAAATAACTAATTATGAATTTTGTTATATTTGTGAAAATTTTAAATATATTTTTATTCTTTTATCAAGTTTAGACGTGGACTACAGTTTGGGGAGCCACCCTTGGCTATGCACTTTCAGATACTGTACTTGGTTTATTTTACTTTTGTTTATAATACACTTAATATTTTATCCATTTTTATAAATTAAAATTTCAAGTTATTTAAAAAGTAATAATAAGAAAATAATTTAAAAAAACCTATAACATACAAAAAAAAAATCACTTTCAATAAAGTTGACTAATTATCATTATAAAGATCATCCGTTGAAGCTCCCAAACAAAAATTCTATATTCTTAATTTCAAAGGGTTTATATTTTCTTTTAGAAAAAAATAATAATAATAACAAATGACAAATTGCAAAATCTCTATTGCTTAAATATCCGTGGAGACAAAAACATGAAATCATGGAATATGAGATACTTCTTCATGTCTATTTTTCTAGTTAAAAAGTAAGTAATATTTAACGAGTCAAGTGGTACAAGCAAATGCAAAATCTCTCTTCACGTGCCGCCCATGTGTCGTATCCCTGACATAAAATAAAACCAAGATAATAAACTAAGATGATGTGGATGTACTTTATCTAACAATGTGATCTTCATCAAATCAAAACCACTAGATCTTGACCCTTTCGGATCTCGTACTAAGAGCCACTCGTTCAACTCAGCAAATCTCAGCCGTTTCATTTGATAGCCATCAGATGTTACTGTATGGGACATCAAAGGCGACATATATATATATATATATATATATTGCAATGCCCCATTGGCGGTATTACTCTATACGTAAACAATGATTGAGACGTCGTCGGAGTTAATTAATTAGTTTATACATTCATTAAATAATCTTTTAACTCCATTCATGTTAATTTTATGGTATTAATTATACGACTAACCCATCAATTTGTTAAGGGAGAATTATTTGGTGAAGAGAGAGAATAAACAGAGGAAAGGCCGACCAATCACATCATGATGAGGAACGCAGAATCACGGATGCACAAAATTACAAAAGAATCCAGCCTCATTTTAAAGACAAGTATATTCCATTCATTCACGGACCAATATGATATGATTCATCACACTATGTCACATGTTCCCCTTCCTCTTCGGTTCTCTATCTCTATAATTGTCCTACAATATTCTTCAATATCTTCTAAATTGACCGACTTTTCCATAATGTTTAGCCATCTTTCAGAGAGATATATATATATATAATTCTTTTTTTAGATCGGGTTTTGGGTTTGAAAATCTAAAAAATCCAATAAATTATACATGTGATTCGAATAAAAGGTTGGCGTCAAAGTTTTATCTTAAGACTCTAGATGGTTAAAAGATGATGATTTCTAATACATTATCATGTTTGAAATAGAAACCTAGCTAGTTTTGCTCGGATCTCAATTATTATATGATTTGTTTCCATCATACTTTGACCTTAAAATTATACATATTAATATTAGAAATTCTTTGCTTCAAACATTAATATCGAATGGTGCATAAGTTTTCTCTTATTATACACGAATAAAAACTAAAGAATGATAGTTACATCTTCTCATATACTTTGAGAGGAATTAGACAAGCAAAACATAAACATAAACATAAATAAGGTTTTGAACATTGAAATTAATTCGGAAGAGACCTCTTGTACACATCTAGCTATACTCGTTACTTAAAACTGACAAAGTAAGAGGTAAATCAAAATTATCATCTGGTTGTCACAAACTAATATAATAACTGTAAGTGGATCCCATGGTTATGCATGAAACTCCGAAATCGAAGCCAGCCATAATAATTGAATCCAGGCTTTCAACAAATAATAACAGTTAAATAAATCCATACTATGGACATGTGAGCTTAGATTGGGGAAAGAGCTTAATAATTAGCCAATCTAATTTATCACATGTGGCCCCTATTCTTCAAAAATGATTAAGCATGTCAGCAAGTAGGACCCTTTTCCTGTTCAAGAGTAATTCCTGGGCATGTGGTGCCGCTGTTTTGAATGTACAGAGATTGATTTTTTATGTATTTTGTCCATTACCTTAAAATGTCGGTGGTCCCTTACTTTGCTGGAAACCTTTCACGCACAACTTTTAACCAAGTTTTAGAAAATGATGTGACTCTGTGGTATGACAAGTATTAAAAATATATTTAAAATTGTGTCTTTCAACATGCGTGTGTCCTTTAGATATGACACTAAATAGACATTTTGAGATTATGTCTCACGATTTTATTATTACTTTTAATTGACCTTTAGCATTCATTGTCTCTCATATAGCTGTTAATCTATTTAAATATATAACTAACTTAAGAAGAGCTTAATGCATGGTTAATGTGAGAGATTTAACATGCATGTGGAAGATCTGGATAGTTATATATATATATATATACACACTAATCGCAAATTCAAAATGCTTTGTGTCACAGTCAGATGGCGAAATTTGTTTAGCAAAAATATTATTCTTTCGCAATTTCAGCAAGAGCAACTAGTAAATATAGAAGATTATCTTCTGTCTTTTCTACAATAATTGAGATTTCAAAGTTTGATAAGAATCGGATAAAACAACCAAAAAAAAAAAAGTCTGTAAGAGGAATACAACATTTACATATTTATATCTTAAGTATGCGGTTGTTGATATAATTAGATCAGTATTTATCATCTCAACATTTATCCATTGTTGTAAATAAATTGAATCTGAACATATAAAACCCTTCTTTTTTTATGTAATTACCAAAGTTCTACAGTAGAAAATCTTTAAATTTGTTGGCTTACAGACTTGCAGATTAATAAACTCTAGGTAAAATATCAGTCGTAGTATAATAGTATTAGTGAGGTAATGGCTTATATCAGTCTCCATTTGTCTTGATTTGGATGACCTCAGTCGATGCACAGATTTAAGTTTATACCAAATTTAAATTAAAAATGCAATGTTGAAGGTAGTCATCCTGTTGGAATGCAAAGACTTTTTGGTAATTGACGAAGAAAAGACAATCAAGAAGAAAATGCAAGCAAGAAGAAAAGGCAAACAAGAAGAAAAAATAATTTAAGTTTTAGGCAAATTTCTAATTTAGGAATTTGTAATTGATGATAATTGTTTTCCTTTTCTATTGTGAGATGTATTAGGAAAGAAGAATTGGTTTAACAATTTATTTAAGTTAAAATAGGAGAATTGTTTAAATTAGAAGAGTTCTATTAGGAATATGAATATGAATCCTAGTAAAATAAAAATGTCATATTTTACCTATAAATAGGAGAGTTAAAACTAATTCAATGTTATGAGAGAGGGAAGTAAAGAAAGAGAGAATGTGAGGATACAAGGGGTTTTGATGTAAGGATACTATGAGTATCAAGTAAATACCAAGATGTATTAAACACCATTGAAACGGGATGTCTACCTAAGTAAATATATTAGGTTGATGGTGTGATGAAACACTTGTATCGTATTCATATTATTATAGTGAAAACCCCCTCATCTGTGGATGTAGGCAAGTTATGCTGAACCACGTAAAATATTGTGTGTCTTTGTATTGTGTTATGTATTATTCTTTAATTTTATGTTTTTGTTTTACTCCTCCAATTTTTAACATGGTATTAGAGCAGATTCTGATTTTCAACATGGTATCAAAGTAAATTCTGATTTTCAACATGGTATCAGAGCAATTGGTTGTATTGCTGTTCGATTCTTAACATGGTATCAGAGCAGATTCTGATTTTCAAAACATCTAAATCTCAAGAAAATGATTCATTTACATTAAATAATGAGTTGATAATGCTTAAGCATCACGTGTATTCCAAAAGCAACACATGGGATCGATAAATTTAGAACTTCTAATTCGTAGATTAATTTGGATTATTGAGCTGCTATGATTAGCAATTCTTACCAAGATAATTTGTAGTTTTTGTAATGTAAATCCAAGTATCCAACACTATTACAGTGCAGGTCAGTCAATTATATTTGGTTGTAAATATATTTTCTCATCTCATATAGTGTTAGAAGTTGACTAGGTTTAAACAGAGTGAAATCTATCTAGCGTTGAGACACATTATTTTGACAATGATATCTTGACGAGTGTTTGACGCTAATTTAAATGCTGGTGTTAGGTTTCCCAGATACAACTGTCTACTTTGCCGACTCGATGGCTGCATCAGGGTACAACTAATATCTGGTGGTGTTATTAGAAAGAATTACTCTCATTAACTATGTTGTTCAATTTATTGGTGGCAAGCTTATTGCATAATATATAATAGACTTGTCACTAAAATAGTATGATTCTTATATTTGTTACTTTGAAAATGGATACACGAGTGGGTAAAGCCAATAATTTGATAAAAATTGGATATCTTTGTCCCAACACAATGTAAAATTGTTAATATTCCAAGCATTGCAAATTCATGTGAGTAACAATGACTGTCGGATTGTGGTGCAACTTAATTAACAGTGTAGAATAGTATCCACCAACCTCCCTAGAAACCTAATTTGAGTAGTTAAAATATACTTCTAGGGTTTTTATTCAAACTGATGTAAGTAAAATCTCTTCCATTTCCAAAACAAGAGAACAGCCAACGAAAATGAGACAGCAGTAACATAAAATACAATGGATCTACTCATTTGTAAGGTACATTGCCAACTAGCAGAGTTTGGCAGCTGCCTTTGAGCCCAACCCTTGGTCACGTGAAGTGCTTTTAGTGTTTTTTGTTCATTTTCCCACTTCACTGTTCCTATATAACACCTCCTTCCTCTACAAATTCTATACCTTTCTAGTTACTCTCTCTTTGTTTTAATACAAAAAAAAAAAAAAAAAAAAAAAAAAAAACCAACATGTATTCCTCCAAAATTTCAGCTCTCCTCATTATTTACATGCTTTTCATTTCCTCAGCCACTCCCATTTTCGGATGTGGCGCCTGCGGCAAGCCAAATCAGAAGCCTAAGCAAAAGCACCCAAAAGGCCCCATTACTCTTCCTCCCATTGTTAAACCACCAATCAATTTGCCACCAGTCACTGTTCCTCCAATTAAGCCACCGGTTACTCTCCCCCCCATTGTAAAGCCACCTGTTACACTCCCTCCAGTGACAGTTCCTCCAATTAAGCCTCCAGTTACCCTCCCTCCAGTGACTGTTCCTCCAATTAAGCCTCCCGTTACACTCCCTCCGGTGACCGTTCCTCCAATTAAGCCTCCCATTAACCTCCCTCCGGTGACACTTCCTCCAGTGACAGTTCCTCCAATTAAGCCTCCAGTTACCCTCCCTCCAGTGACTGTTCCTCCAATTAAGCCTCCCGTTACACTCCCTCCGGTGACCGTTCCTCCAATTAACCTCCCTCCGGTGACACTTCCTCCAGTTACTGGTCTTCCAACGACTAAGCCACCAAGTGGAAAGACTTGCCCACCATCACCAGGTACTAAACCAGCCACATGCCCTATTGACACACTCAAATTGGGCGCTTGTGTGGATCTTCTCGGCGGATTGGTTCACGTCGGTCTCGGTGACCCCGTTGTTAACCAGTGTTGCCCGGTTCTTAAAGGGCTTGTTGAGCTTGAAGCTGCAGTCTGCTTGTGCACCACACTCAAGCTAAAGCTACTCGACCTTAACATTTATGTTCCTCTTGCTATTCAGCTCCTTGTGACTTGTGGGAAGACTCCTCCCTCCGGTTACACTTGCACTCTTTAGATCTAAGTTAAGTACACTTCACACTCTCTCAATACGAAAATTTGCTAATATAACTACAGGATCAACGTTGCATGGTCTTAATTACCTCAGTCTGAGTCTGACTAATTGTTTACTACAATATTAATTTGAACTGAAACGTTAATTGTTTCCTTCTTTTGCATATATAATTACAACTCTAAAATGGAATCATTTTATCACTCATTTTCTTAAAGAAGTGCTTTCTAGGATTCTAGCAGTCAGTGTTTACTATGAGATTCAGCTTTTCAGTGACTGCGAGACAGTTTCTAAGTTCCAACTGAGACTTAGAATTTATTCTTACTTTAAGAACAAAGTTTAACTAGACAATGTCGATCTAGTCACTGTTGGGGGACATAATAAATAGTCAATATTTTTTGCCAAGAGCAAGAAAATGTTATGATGTTTTGATAAGTAGTAGACAAATATCTAAAAGCCAGTTCTTTTGAGGCTTAAATAAATATAAGTAGAGATCTAATTTTCTTCTACAATGATGCTCTTTATTATTCTATCTTTCTCTTCTTTTGTTTTTCCTCTTCAATAGATTCTTTAAATAAAGTTTATAATATATTATGTATGCGAGGAACTGTTGGCTCATTAGATGTCTTGATGTTTGCAGGTCTCCAGAATTGATGGATTTTCTCGGATGAAATCGACATGAGAGGATGTCGAGCCTCATCTCTCTTTCTCTCTCTTTCTCTATTGGGATTGTGATGTTTGGCATATTGTACACCATTTATTTTTGTGAGATTGTTTGCATGTGCGTTTTATTAATTAATTAATTAATGTCTTTGACAAAGACGCATTAATCAAGAATGATTTTCTATCTTACTTTAATTAATCTTAACATTAATTTCTTGAATGGTCTTTTTCTTTCTTTTTGTTTTTGTTTTTGTTTCATGGGTAATATTTTTCTCTTTTCAAATTATTTATAATAGTGAAGTTTGATATTAAAGTGTTCAGAAAATTAAATTTGATTACTATAACTAAAAGGTTAGCATTGATCGAAAGAGAAAAGCTAAAGCAACCGCTAAAAACTGGGAGGGGGAAGGGATACATATATACAGTTACATTTGAACTCAAATAAGGTCAACTTCTTGATTCGGGAGTTATGGGAAATTTTATAATTAAATATCTCTAAACTTTTCGATTAAAAAAACAAATCATATATATACAGTCAAACTTCTTTATATAAGAATAACCTTTGTACAGTCATAAAAAACTACAGTCCCAACTTGAGATAGTTATAAATAAGAATAACTATAAATTTTACATTGTAATAAATTATAATTATTCTAATTCCCATCTTAAAAAAGTTGTTTTCACATAATAATAATTATCTGTATATTGTAAAAAAAACATATGCTATATTATATTAAATGTTTAAGATGAAATAAAATATTTATCTAAAGTTATTTGGGATAATTATTTATGTTTTAAAATTGTTACCGCATCAAATTACAGGCTGGCATGAATACTTTCTTGTTGAAACTAAAATATTTTTAATTTCTCAAGCGTTGAAACTAAAATATTTTTAGTTTCTCAAGTATTCAAGTATGTTTAGAGCCTTTTAACACGAATTTTTTTTGTATTTTCATCCTATCATTCTTAAGATTATTTTATTTTTCTTCTTATTTAATTGCAATAATGATTACTAAAACAATAAATTAAAATCTTAATATATACTAGTAAAATGTGAATTATAAAATAAAAAATAAAAAAAATAATTTTTACAATAAAAGGTTTATTAAATTATAACTTCTTTATTGTAATAAATTAATTTGATCCATAGTTATAATCATTAAATCAGAAAAGATGACAAGAGAGATAGCTGGTTTTGAATTTCCAATGGGCTGGGAGGATTCCCACCCAACTTAGAAGTGTATTTATAAAGTGTGTAATGATTGAGACTATGAACGCGGAGCCTTTATTCTTCCAATATCGATCCATGAATAGAAATGAGGTGAGAATCTCACAATAGGACCACAGTTTGTTATGTAAAAACATATAGATATATATTAATGAAACTTTCATGCCAACTGTTTGATATGACATGCAAAAACTAATTTAAGAAAAAAATTATTGATACGTGATTTTGACACCAACGAAACGCACGTGTGAGATACTGAGCTGGCCCAGAAGATACACGTGAAAGAAAGAGAATTGAGAGCAAATGCAGTGAGAAAGAAGTTTTTAAAGTGGTTCGGATGCTAAGGAAGCAAGTCCTACGTCCACTGATGTTTGTATTAATGATAAAGGTCAGGTCGCTTTAGCTTACTGACTTTACAATGATAATACAAGGTATCAAATGCTGTATATTCTAGAGAGAGAGTAGCTAATCAAAAGTAAAAATGTGCAAATCCCCTTCAATGAGAGAGGGGCTCTCAATTTATAGTGGAATGGATTGAGGCAATCATCACTGAATCTGTGGGTTGGTGGGATTATCCGTGTAAAATCCTTCTTTATATCACATTACCTACCTTCTATAGTGATTTGCGTGATTTTGAGAAGGGATTGGACACGTGGGATCACCACAGCTCTTGGCTGGCCTGGCGTGCGCCCACTATTCTGACAGAAGTAGGCTGCGGGTGTATCTATGCTCTGACTTTTACAAGCTGACTAGACCTTACGTCAGCCCTATATTTTTCGGGCATAACATAAGTCCCCTAGTTTTTAAGGTTTGAGAATCGAACCTTGGAAACTATAAATGCCTCGATTTGGTGTTCGAAGAGAAGCTGGCCGCTACGACCAGTTTGTAAAAGAGATCAGGACTCTCAGGTAGCTGAGGATCTGCGACCCCATGGCCAGCAACCTGGCCTCGGGTACTCGACGTTAGCGGTGACCCCGACCTGAGGAGATTCTCGACCTATTTTCACTTAGTAACTTTTTAGGACAAATGGTCATGCTGCTTTGCAGTAGGCGTCACATCACTTCGCGATGGTCTCGGCCCGAACAATCAGGTCGCGTCGCGACCGATGAGGTTCGAAGAGTCGCATCGCCTTGTGACTGGTGATGAAAAACGTTGCTGGTAACGACTTCTTCAAATATCCATTGCACCTTTAGTTGTAAGCGCATTAAATGAAATGTTCTTTGTTCTAACAGACGTGTCCTTTGCGCAATAAGTGTCAGCTATGCCCATTAAATGCGAGACATATCGAAACAACATTCCTTATCAGGGCATTGAATGCGGCAGTGGGCACATTAAATGCAGGAAAGGGGAATCATGCCATCGCTTGAGCGTTTCAACGGGAGGGGGTGACGGTCTGGTTTCTTGAGGCATGACGGTCACTCTTCCTCGTTGATTAGTGACACGTGGTCGTGATCAACAGTCGATGCATTTTTCGCTCAAACGTCGTTTGGTTTTGGGAAACCGAGGCGCCACTCTCTCAATTATAAAAACCTCAAGCCTTCTTCAGGTGAAGCCATAACATTTTCATTTTCAGAGAACAAGAAATCTTTGCCGGTCTTGATTCCTTGTTTTTCAGAGCGGCGTTCGTTTGATATCTGGAACAGAAGAGTCGATCCTTCTCATTTTCAGAGGTAAAGATGACTTCCTTTTTATCTTTAATGTCTTTAACTTTTGATAGCCACTGTACGATGGTTGTTCGTCGGTAGCTCATTGGAGACGAAATGTTCTCCGTCGGGTTGGAGCCACTAAAGGCTCTAAGTATACTTGTTAGGGTTCTTATGGGTTAAAAGGGGGGAAAAAATTTTACCCACGTCATCGTACGAAAATGTACGAAGACTGAATGGTACCCTTTTGTCGCTTTTGCAGATTACGAAATAGACCCCCCAACGACCAAGGCCGAGAAAGGGGCTAACTTGCCTGTAAAGGGTGCTTTCGCAGTCCCCCCTCGAGAAATTTACTGAGCGCTTACCGCTGATGAGCTACAAAGGGTAGTTAGCCAGTTCGCTGTCAGGGTAGATGTCTTCCTCGAGGTGGCATATACTGCCCGGGATCCACCGCGTGGGTTCGCTACGATCTCCAAAGATATCTTTGAGGGTGGGGGATTGATTCCTTTCCACCCTTTTACCAGGTTGGTCCTCGATCATTTCGGGATCGTATTGATGCAGCTTACCCCGAATGCGTACATGATCGCCATTACCATGTACATCGCGTGTCGGGAGAATGGACTGGGCGAGTTAACAGCCGTTGAGCTCGGTTGCTCATATGTCTTGAAAAGGAGCAAGGACAAGGATTCCTGGTACTTGTCCAGACGAAACACGATACAGGCTGGGATACATAGCTATCCGAGCAATGCAAGAGCATACGACACAAAGTTTTTCTTTTTTCGTTATGACGGCATCAGCCTTTTCCAAGATCCGAGTAGGTTCTGTTTCCTTCTGAGCTCAGTTCAACTTTTACTTTTTGCTAACGAGCCGTTTGCTTTCCTTGACAGTTAACAGAACGACCAATCTAAACTTGTTCGCAGACCCGGACAGGATTGTATCATTTGGCTTTCTGCCCAGGGAGAGACTGAAAGATGGATGCATGAAGAATCAAGCATATCATGCTATAATAAGTATAGTCATAGTTTAAAAAAAAAAATTCAATCAAATTGAAATAAGTAAGGTAGAACATGTTACCTTAAGTCCTTAGCAACCTTGGAGACTCTTAATTTCAAGAGAAACTAAGCAAAAGAGTATCCACACCAAGGGAAGAAGAGATTTGACCAAGAGGAAAATTTAGGGTTCTTAGAGATTTTTCTCTACACAAAAATTCATATATCATTTTCTTTATATAGGAATCCTTGTAAACAATTCAATAATTGTTTTGGACTTCCTTAAACAATTCCATAATTGTTATGAAGTTGTTAAACTTCTTTAAATTATAACATTGGATTAACATTTAATCACAATTAACAATTTAACTCTTAAATTGTTTACATNAGCGGGTGCATTAAATAAAATGCTCTTTGTTCTAACAGACGTGTCTTATACGCAATAAGTGCTAGCTATGCGCATTAAATGCAAGCCATGCTAAAACGACATTCCTTATTAGAGCATTAAATGCGGCTGTGGGCGCATTAAATGTGGAGAAGGGAAAACGTGTCGTCGCTTGAGCGTTTCAACGGAAGGGGTTGACGATCTGGTTTCTTGAGGCGTGATGGTCACTCTTCCTCGTTGATTAGTGACACGTGGTTGCGATCAACGGTCAGATGCGTTTTCCGCCCAAACATCGTTTGATTTCGGGAAACCAAAGCACCATTTCCTTCACTATAAAAATCCCAAGCTCTCTTCAGGCAAAGTCACAGTATTTTCATTCTTAGAGAGCAAGAAACTTTTGCCAGTCTTGATTCTTTGCCTTTCGGAGTGGTGTTTGCTCGATATTCGAAACAGAAGAGCCAATCTTTCTCATTCCTAGAGGTAAAGATGATTCCCTTGTTTTATCTTCAATGTTTGTTGCTTTCGATAGTTATCATGCGATAACTGTCCGTCGGTAGCTCATCGAAGACAAAATACTCTCCGTTGGGTTGGAGCCATTGGTGGTGGCTCTTTTAAGTATTTTGTTACGGTTTTTATAGGTTTAGGGAGGAAAAACTTTCCTCCACGTCATCGTACGAAAATGTACGAAGACTGAATGGTACCCTTTTGTCGCTTTTGCAAATTGCAAAATGGACCCCTCCAATGACCAGAGCAGTGGAAGGAGCCAACTTGCTCGTAGAGGATGCACTTGCGGGCCCCCCTCGA